AAATATGAAAAATAAATACACAAATTCAATAAATCTCTATTTTAATATAAATGTGATGAAATATTGTAATATCAAAAGCCCAACTCCACAAGTACATAAAAAACATACTGGTGGTCACAGCCATATACATGGGAGTTGAATTGTCACTCTGCAATGTATGGTAACCGGATACTGTAAAATCTGTATTAGAAGCCGCGGCTTCTATTAAAATGATACAATGCAACAGAAGGGATGCAGCTTCTATTAAACCATCTACACATATGAGAAATGATGAATTTTTGGTTATCAATTATTCAAAAAAAAATGCAGCTTCTAACACAGTTTTTAAGGTAATACAAATAATTTTGGAATTTCTCTTATTTACAAAAATGCATGAACATTTCGCCATGCCTCCCTCCTTCCCATGAATTCCTGAGACCGCATATTTTCACTTGCACACTATAACCTTATCAGCTGTTGATTATTTTATTTCCTCATGTGATAGATTAGCAAGATGAGATGAACCACGTTTCAAATATTTCATCATTTCTTTCTTCACAAGATAATGTCCAGGAAATCACATGTCTGAAACAGTAATAGAATTGTCACTGTTGCACATAAGACAACTCGCTGCATTCAATTACGAGGTCATGTAATAAGGTAATTGTGAAAATAAATACAACTCATGAAAGTTTGGGGGAACTGCTAATTCTTTGATAACAAATAACTTGCTATATAAGGTCCAATGTGAACAACAAATTTAAGGACACGAACCAAATTATTTAGTTAACTTTTTCATGTGGGTGAAAATCTACCATGTAGGCAAAACTGTTAAACCAAGAAGACCAAATTTCAATATCGTGATGGTGGAGGTGGTGTATACAGCTATTGTTACAACTGATAAACTTTTATTTTGGACAATTTCAACTTGATCCAATCAAATTATGTATTTAAATATTATTATACAATTGCGAAGATGGCCAACAAATTCCATCTGTGTGTTGCTAAATTCTAAAGCAGAATTAAAACTCTGCCCCAGTGGTGGCGGCACAGGGGAGGTCGCCCCTTGAAAATAATGTTGGGGGCGTGGCCCCCTCTAAAATCAAGCTGAAACTTTGTGTCAGCAAAATTTTCCCTCAAATTTCCGGGAGAATATGCCCTGGAACCCCCTAGTAAGGTCACGTTCGGAGCGACCACTCACTTTCGGCGTGAGGGATGGTGAGCAGATCCCCCTCCCCCATATGCAAAATTTTGTGTCGCCGCCTCTGTGCCCTCTATTGTCGATGTACTTCATATAGAACAAAATTTGTAATTAACAAACTGAACAACATCTGTTATTTTACTTTGTTATTTTACTTTGTTATTACCTTGCAGGCTATGACTAAGTTTTGAAGACCACACTGATCCAGAGTAGAAAACAATGCCTTTCCTGTACATGCACGGCTATGCTGACTGATTGCCTCTTTTAATCGATCCTTCACATATGACAATGTCACACAATCGTACTATGACAAAAGAAATACAGACAAAAATTATTCCCATAACACAAGACATGATGAACAATTATGTGAATATACAAGACTTGACAAAAATCAATCTACCCAGTGTTTGAAAATATATTATAATTATTTGATGATATCTGATGATATAATATGAAGTGATAACGTGAATACCACAAAGTATGCATACTGAGTGATAACTGATTGTAGTAATATTTTAATGAGAGATAAAAGCCCAAAATGGCAACCAAAAACATTTCGCGCTGTGCAAATATTTTCAATCAATGACAGGGTTCTATTCTCATCACATTGCTTCTGCGTCATGAGTAAACAAAGGAAAATATTTGAATGTGACATAAACCTGATGCACAAATTTCAAATAAGGAAAACATTAAATTC